ATTTTCATGCTATTTTCACATTTCTCGATCGATGTGAACAAAATATTTCTCATCTCTAGATACAGAAAACTTTGTTGTAAATGTAAATGATTTGTCCAAATTCAATTATGACGTCAAATTTTGTTGATTTCTACTGCATTACCTATTGTGACGTCATGAAAAAGGCGAACATGCCTGATGACGTCACATATAAAGAACACAACTTTCTGCCAATCTTAGAAAAGGAAGGATAAACTTTGTTTAGATATCGTCTAAAAATCATTAGAGAAATATAGATTCCACCACTGCAACAAGTGTGTTACGATATTTCTCCACTCGAGACAGTTAAATTTTAATATTTAAAACGCGAGGCTTGCCGAGCTTTTGAATAATTAAAATTTAACTGTTGTGAGTGGAGAAATATCGTAATACACGAGTTATAGTGGTATAATCTGTTTCTCTATTGATTTTTATCCTTCCTTTTCAAAGATTTGTAGAAAGTTGTGTTCTTTACATGTGACGTCATCAGGCATAGTCGCCTTTTTTCATGACGTCACAATAGGAAATTCAGAAGAAATCAAGAAAATTTAACGTCATAATTGAATTTCGACTAATCATTTGCTGAGAACAGATATTTCACTAGTGATGAGAAATATTTGTCTCACACTGATCAAGAAATGTGAAAATAGCACAAAAATTAGAGAAACAGATTCCACCACTATATCTTGTGTGTTACGACATTTCTCCTCTCTCAACTGTTAAATTTCAAATATTCAAAAAGCTTGGCAAGCCTCGCGTTTTAAATTTTAAAATTTAACTGTCTCGAGTGGAGAAATATCGTAACACACTTGATGCAGTGGTGGAATCTGTATTGCTATGCATCAGGATGTGTTCCCTATGTAAGCTGGCCAGTTTCCCAATATCTTTATGAGGGTCTGGATGGGGGTCTTTCAATTCTGTATTCTTTAATTTTTAGGCCATTTTTCTCTATTCTTTTTGCCCATTACTCTCTATTCTTTATATTTTCGCACCTCATTATTCTCTATTCTTTATTTTTTGGTCCATTTTTCTCTATTCTTTAAAATTGAGAATGGAAATGGGGAATGTGTCAAAGAGACATCGACCCGACCATAGAGCAAACAACAGCCGAAGGCCACCAATGGGTCTTCAATGCAGCGAGAAACTCCCGCACCCGGAGGCGTCCTTCAGCTGGCCCATAAACAAATATGTATACTAGTTCAGTTATAATGGACGTCATACTAAACTCCAAATTATACACAGGAAACTAAAATTAAAAATGATACAAGACTAACAAAGGCCAGAGGCTCCTGACTTGGGACTGGCGCAAAAATGCGGCGGGGTTAAACATGTTTTTTGAGATCTCAACCCTCCCCTATACCTCTAGCCAATGTAGTAAAAACAAACGCACAACAGTACGCACAGTTGTATTTTTTGCCCATTATACTCTATTCTGTAAACCCCCATTCACACCCTCCTTTATGGAATTTTCAAGAAATTGAAAATTTAGATTATAATTTACTCTGATAGAAATTCGTTTTAATTACTATAATGGCATCATGATTTGTTTTAATCGAGCCATCTGAATTACTTTATTTTACGAGTTTTGAAATGTTATCAGTTACGAACTTCAATGAATATTTTTTTTTCATTTACATTACGGAAATCATCACCATTGTCTATCGTTTTTTTGTTTGTTTTTTTTTACATAACGGTAACCTATGCATGAAGTGCATTTCACGTATCAGCATTGTTTTTTTCCCCAGATATACGCTTATAAACACACAGCAATCTTCCGGAAGAATTCTTATTCTTACGATTTTTAAGAAATGTTTTAGTAGAAAATGAAAGGATATGGAATAAATGTACATGGGACAAAATCGCACACAATACATTGAAAATTGAAAACATAGAAAATTATCAATGAACAGGGCTTTTATTCCTGTTCTTCATCTTGACAGTTGATGTAGGGTCTTCAACAATGAACGAATCATTCATACCCTACAACAAGGTCAAGACGGCCCCTAGCGTCGACTTAAGCGGTTCTATTGATAAAAATAAACCACAGTTCACCTTCTTGCTCCCCACCCACCTCGGAGTGCCAACTTGTGCGATGCTTGTGTACGACGGTTCTCCAGTCGAAAGCACCAGGGATACAAGAAAAGTGCAGTAATTTTGAAAGACATCGATAGCCGCTAAAATATGCCTTGAAGTTACACATGTCGGGAGCGGTCAATGAATTACATAATTTATAATCACGGGCGAGGTTTTTCAACATATATTTGTCATACATTGCCCAACAAAAGACCAATAGCTTCGAAACAACAAATGATAGAGAATACATATAACACTAAACAACAAATGATAGACAATACATGTAACACTAAACAACAAATGATAGACAATACATATAACACTAAACAACAAATGATAGACAATACATATAACACTAAACAACAAATGATAGACAATACATATAACACTAAACAACAAATGATAGACAATACATGTAACACTAAACAACAAATGATAGACAATACATATAACACTAAACAACAAATGATAGACAATACATGTAACACTAAACAACAAATGATAGACAATACATCTAACACTAAACAACAAATGATAGACAGTACATATAACACTAAACAACAAATGATAGACAATACATGTAACACTAAACAACAAATGATAGACAATACATCTAACACTAAACAACAAATGATAGACAGTACATATAACACTAAACAACAAATGATAGACAGCACGGGGCACATCGAAATATATGTAAGAAAACCTATCAGTTTAAAACTTAGTTTACTACATCTTCAACTGCCATCTTGGGATCTCCGTAACTACAGTTACCGATATTAGATTTAAAATGTTTAAAACGACTGAAAGATCCTTATTGTGAAAAAATGGGGCAATCATAAATGAATTTCTCCAATATAGCAAAGTATCATTACGAAATAAAAGCATGTAATGTTTTGACTGTTTTCTTGTTTGTAAATATCTAAACTGCATCTAGTGCACCGAAATGCAGATATCTTCAGTTAAAATATGCTAATGGTTAAAATGGCTATGACCTTTTGTGAAACTTTTTATTGATTTTAAAACATAGTGTGTAAGCGCAACAAACCTTTTTTTTCGTAAAAAATTGTAATTAACTGAGATCTTCGTTTATTTGTAACTAGTTTGAAATTGAAATGTCGACTCCAAAGCTATAAACACTGCATAAATCCGTCACGTGTCTTTTTAATACTGACATTTCTTATCTGTTTCATGTATATTCTGTAATAAACCAAATTTAGTATCAATTGAATAACACTAAATATAACATTTTATTTCATTACTATACTAAGCTAATAAGGAAAAATGAAGCTTTGTCTGAAAGATAGAGATCAAGCGCCTTGTCTACGCCGACTGCTATCTGAAAAGTTCGACGGACGTTTTCTCTAAATGAGATCATAAAACAGAACCATCAATGAAAAGTAATTGAGGTGTCAATATCACTACACAATTATCTTAGAAATCAGCTGATAAATCATGTTAAAGGTACATAGTTGTTCTATAAAACATAGACCAAAGTATAAGCTTAGGTCATAAAATAATGGTATTGTCTAGTAGGCGAATTGACATGAATGACAACTAAATTAGAATGACCGTAGGAGGATCTATATAAATCGTAGAACTTGAAGATATAATATCATTTAATAAGTATTCCGTTACAGTTGTACTGTATATAGTCTGACGATTCATTATAAATCTCACGATGTTTAACAAAATAATGTATCGCGGTTAAGGTGGAAATACATCCAGGAAATAGTTGTACTATAGTAAGACAGAAAAAACCTGGGATGTTATTTAGTTTGCAAGTGATGATAGTAACACATATTAAGGCAAAAATGAATGTTATTAAAAAGATTCCAAAATATGTCGAAATGCCAATGACAGCACAGCTGTCAAAACGATTATTCGAGACATATTAAACGCTCATGGTATTGTATTTTTTTATTTATTACTTTCGATGAAGTTTTCTTATTTTAGTCCATAACAACTTCTCTGCGGGGTCGACACATACATTTTGTAAAGATGCAATCGAGCATATTGTGTAATTTATTTCATGCCACCACACTTGTGAAAAGACCTTATGAAGCTTGTCATTTAATATATCTGGTTAACATCTAAAAATGAACTGTATATAGCAATTTACACATTTGACCCGTACAGACTAAAAAATAATAAAAATAATATAAAATATTTAAGGATATTTATTTGTTCCTTACAAGTAGTCTAAAAACGTAACATAAAGTATATGCTTTTTTATAAGAGAAAGAATATTCTATAAGTCAATGTTGCCGTTTGTTTTCTTGTTTGAATTGTTTTACATTGCGTCATGTCGATATCTTTTATAGGTGTTATGCTTATTGTTGAAGGTCGGTGACCTATAATTGCTAACGTCATTTGGTCTCTAGTGGAAAGTTGCCTCATTGTGGCAATCATACAACATCTCCTTATTTGTTTGTCCAATGTAAAACTGTTTCCTCATCAATCAACCAATTCTTAAATCATTCAATTAAGTGTTGATACATGTACGTAATTCCAGAAACTTTATAATGACGTTCATACATTAGGTTTGTCTTGCATGTATTGTAACACTTCAGAAATTGAATGTAACTTTTGGTTTATTAATACACGTGTCCGTAAGTTCTATTTACGTATTTTTTTTCAAATATGAAGCTGTCATTCCACTTTTTATAGAAGTCTAGATATCTCACTTGAAAAAAATAATGTTTCAAATAAAATTTGATTGATGATAAAGAAGGAAATTTGATTGATGACCGTATTGCGCTATGTCCATATGAAGAAAGACAGCTATTGTGTCACTAAAGTACACGTTACAGTCAAATGTCAATTTTCTATATTTTATCGTTAATTCCAAAGTATTTAAATACAAATACATCAATTTTCAATGCTGCCTGTATTTTCTTATTTATTAGGTCTGAATGTTGTGTTTAGAAAAATGGCAGAATCGGCTAAGCCTGTAGTAGAGTTTACAGTAGAAGATAACACAATTAAGATGATATCCAAAGTTAGCTTCTTTAACCAAGTTATAAATATAAAACTAGACGGAGAATATCAACAGTCATTTGAGGGCACTGAAATGAATGTAAGTTAATGATGTTCGATGGAACTTACCAGTATAGCAAAATAAATCAGTGTCAGTAGTATTGACTCTAAAAGTCACTTTATACGTCAAAACATGTTGCTCGTCATCTTGTATCTTTTTGTATACTATGATCACTCCCTGTATTTACTTTCAATTTAATTTGCTTGAATAATATATACACTTAAGATCAAATGAAGCGATATATTTTAAAGGCAAAATAGATTGCAACATTTGTTTTCTTTGTTTGTGTGTTTGTGTGCCAATGGCATTATCTAAACAAAGTATAGGCTTGCCAAGAAACAGTTCAAATAATTTATTAAAGCATAGAACGTTGCATATCAAGACGTACAACAAGAACATCGCAAAACATAAACAAAGGAGGTAATTCGAGGCATATATAACAGTTTGGATAAATGGGAAGAAACTCCGTTAAACTGTAATCTTTGGAAAGTTTTAGGGTATACACTGTCACTTTTGAATATATGGAAAAACAAGTTACCCAATACAATACAGTACAGGCCTAAAATGATTATATATACATGTACTGTGCGTACTGTTGTGCGTTTGTTTTTACTACATTGGCTAGAGGTATAGGGGGAGGGTTGAGATCTCAAAAAACATGTTTAACCCCGCCGCATTTTTGCGCCTGTCCCAAGTCAGGAGCCTCTGGCCTTTGTTAGTCTTGTATCATTTTTAATTTTAGTTTCCTGTGTATAATTTGGAGTTTAGTATGACGTCCATTATCACTGAACTAGTATACATATTTGTTTAGGGGCCAGCTGAAGGACGCCTCCGGGTGCGGGAGTTTCTCGCTGCATTGAAGACCCATTGGTGGCCTTCGGCTGTTGTCTGCTCTATGGTCGGGAAATTGTCTCTTTGACACATTCCCCATTTCCATTCTCAATTTTATGTATACCTTTTTTTACAGTGCAATTCGAAATGGGAAAATAATAAGTTAATCACAGAAGCTAATCCTATTGACGGTAAAGGGAAAACACAGAAATTCCAAAGAGAGCGTGTGAATGATGAATTAGTTCAGGTAACAATTTTAAAACGAGTTTATATTTAAAGCTTGATAAATTGTATAATACCCGGGCCTGTCTATTATTCTCCTCTAGATGTGTTTTGTTTTTGGGTCTTAAGTTACTGTCTTATTGGCGTATATATAATACCTCGAAACTCCATTTATTTATATTAATTGTCAAAACTCGCGTTAATCATATTATTTTCAAAGTTTATTTTTTAACTTAGTGCACAATGTAGGTAATGTATTTTTTTAATGATAATTAACTTCTTAATGAAAATATGGAAACAATAAGTCACATACCAATTGATAGATAAAAAAAAAAATCATACAATGTCAAAAGCAAAAGAACAACGCTTCTATTGCTGTTCTACATCTCAAAGTTAAAGTGAGACCATCGACAAGGTCGAAAAGCCATACTTCACTGCAAGGTCAGAGCAATTTGACCTTATGTTTTGGAAAAAAATGATTCATGCAGGATATCCAGTTATATAACTAATGACATATTGGTAGATATAATACTAAAATATGCATGCATAGAAGGATTACCAGGAATGCATATACTTAGTATGTAAATAAACTCTGGCAAATTACAATAAAAAAGTATTAAAAAGTATGGTCAAGAAATGAGTTCAATTGGCCAATACACAATGGAGAAGTGTAAAGTGTGGTATTTATTTTGAACATATATCATATGAAGCTTCGTGATATACAGATTAACATATTCAAGACAAACTTTTAATTATATTTTGACATTAATGACTTAATCATAGACAGTTTTATAGATTTCCCTGCTTAACTTATCGATGTTAACAAGAACAAAATAATTCATTTAAGATGCCAATACTAATTATATATGTCAATACCTATATCTTGGTAGATCTGTTAAATTAATGAAGGATTTTTACAAGGGAATAAAGTATTAATTATAATTGAATCGTAGACTCAATTCTCGAATCAATTTAAACTCACATAGTACACATGTTCCTTCATGTGTTTTATGGTCAGATTGACAAAACTCTATATAAAAGGAGGATGATATTCGATTAAACATCGGAATTCATATGTTAAGCAAGAAAATAGTTCAAAAAAGGTATCAAAGATTTTCGATTTTATGTCACTCAATATGACGACGATATATTAGAAGATCGGCGTAGTGCGATGCAGATATATATACAATGAGTGAATAAAACTAATTTGATAACTCATTCCATTGTTTAAGACATCGTGTTATATAAGTTGTAATCATGAAATTGTAATTAATTAATTAACAAAAAAACAATTTCAAACTTTCTTTATCATATTATGTACTTTATTCTAACTGTAGCATAGTATTTGTTGGTAAATATCTTTCAAACTAGATCAGGCTAAAGTTCTTTTACTGAAATTATAATACATTTTCTAAACCTGCACTTTGGCATATAATGCTAATTGAAAACTGATTTTATTAAATGAATTTCAAAGGCTTTTAAAACATAACATGAAACCTATCCAGTTACAACATGCACAAAGCAAACGTTTTCCGTATTGACATTAACTGCAGAAATACGCCAGAACGAATAGAGTTCAGCGTGCATGCATAAAATCTAACATTTTAATTGTCCATTCATTGCATGATAGGCTCGATAACTATCTTTGATCTCAGATTGCTTTACTATTTTCAGACAATGTGGGCTGGAGATGTTGTTTGTGTCAGAACGTTTAAACCAACAGACTGATCAGATATCATGAAATATGAGGACCATTTTATTTATTGAATTTCACACAATGCCTTGCTTGTATTTTTGTGCTTAAAAGTACAACATCGTGGATTTGTGTATGGTACTTTCAGTTTTGTTTCGGTATTCTCATAATCAAGAAGAGAATGCCTGAAATCCTACAAAATTCAAGAGGTTTGCAGTCCGCCAAGATGTTCTCCATTTCCAAGTAATATTCCCATTTCTTAATTAGCTTTTAAGAACTTGCTTAGTATTTATGTAAAAATTGATGTTTCAACATTGTTTCGTAAGAATTGTATGTCTAATCCAAAAAAATATATAAAATGAATTATCGTGCTTCTCTTTGCCTACATAATCACCTGCTGAATCGATCCGTAATTCTCGTATCACGGCTTTGAGACGTGAGCAGAACTCATCAGTGACGAAGAAGTTATCAGCAACGTCACAATGTGTGAGGAGACGACACAATGTTTGAGAAGTTACTGTCCAGAAACGTGACAATGCAAGATACAAGATACAAGATATTTCATTAACCAATCATGGTGTACAAATTTTGAGCTATACAATCAAATGAATTACAAAATAAAGCACAGTAAATGATTAGAATGAATAGAGTGATTAAAGTACATTTAAACAAAAACATGTATACACATTTAAACAAAGTAACATAATTATAAACAATGTCATTGACAAAACATTAAGTGCGTGAGGAGAATTTATCAAACCTACTTTTGTCAAGCGTAAAACTGTCTTAGTCAGGAGCCTGTTGTTCAGAGGTTGTCGTTTGTTGGTTGGGTTATTAAGTGTTTCTCGTTCCGCGTTTTTTACATAGATTAGACCGTTGGTTTTCCTGTTTGAATTGTTTTACGCTTGTCATTTTAGGGCCCGTTATAGCTTGCTGTTCAGTGTGAGCCGTGTTGAAGACCGTACTTTGACCTATAATTGTGCACTTTTTACACATTGTGACTTGGATGGAGAGTTGTCTCATTGGCACTCATACCACATCTACTTATTTATATTAGGGAGGATTAAATACCAGAAATAGCCCGATAAACAGATAATCGGGTCGTCTGCGTATAAATATCGTAAAATATCAACCGTTTGACACAAAATCAAGCTATTATTGCTCGTTCGCTACGCTCACTCGCCAAAAAAGTTTCACATTGTACGTAACTCGCGGCGGATATTTTACGATATCAATGTGTAGAAAACCCGATGATCTAAACAAACTGGACAACCTAAATCTGTATTTAAAATGGAATACGGCGTTTTGATATTAAGACTGACGTACTTGTTTTTATTTTTGTGATCGCAGTTATATCGTAGCTTTCTTTCGTTATTTTACAAACAAACAACTCTTAGTAAAATTTGGTAAGAAGCACCAGTTGGTAGAACGTGCTTTGAAATTCAGGACATACAATTATTACTGAACTTATGAAGCGCACGTACAGTTTTTGTAGCTTTAATCATATTGATTTGATACTATATGACATTGTATTAAAAGGAAGTCATATAATAAAGTTAATAAAACTTTGTATGTGTTAATTTGAATATATACATGTGTTCCTTTATTCTATTACGGTTTCTGTTGTAATTGGTGATCCATCTCCTTTTCAGTTCACCTATAGTCGAAAGGGCTGATGTATGCCATCACCATTGTCGTTGTCGTACGTTAATTTGAAGCAATATTGTTTCTTCTATAAAACTTCTGGGCCAAATAGATTCAATCTTGGCTAAAGCGCTCCGTATAGAAAAAGAACAACAGATCCCACCCGCAAACCAAAATGGTCGCCGTTGCTAAAAATAGAACAACTGTGTAAAATGCAAGTAGTCGTATACATCTTGAAACTGAAATAAGGGGAAAATCTGATAGGGACAAAAATAATCTAATATAAAAATCAACCTATCTTTCATTTAAACCAAAAGTTTCAGATGTCTCTTTACAGGGGATGTATGGCCATAAATGATTAATTGTTAGTCAACTGTTTCTGTAAATTATTTTGAAAAGCATAATAAATAGACGGAATATGTGCAGAAGCCGGCCATTAGGACCTTCCAAAATAAAATTGGAATTCGAAATGTTTACAGCACACATTATCAGCAAATAAGTCGAATTACTGTTAATATCGTTAATCGACTCCCTGTAGGAGATTTTGTCCCTAAATCATGGTTTTTAACTTTTTACATTTTTTTACGTTTCTGCCTATTATATTGATAAACAGACATGATAAACAGCAAAATGATCAGAAATACTAGCTATATAATCAGTCAAAATAAATGAAATCGTCATTCCACTGTATCTGAGTGTCGTTACCATAAAATTACGATTTAACCATTATTTTTTTCACCCAATATATAGAAAATGTATTATCGGTAGACATTATCTTTAAACAGCAAAATTTATCAGAAAAAGAACTACAAAGGTCAAACATGACCAAAACCATTCATTGACTCCTCAAAAGATTAATACCTAATTTCACATTTTTGGCAATTTATTTATCTTGAAAACTTAAATAGATACGAGCAACTATAAGCGTTAACGTATAAATAAATTTGGTATTCATATTCCCAGGTGAGCGTTTAAGACTCCATGGAGCCTCTAGTTTTTATCCTTACCAGTGGAATATTAACAGTAAAAAGGAAGCGCGGAGAACAAATTGTAAATTTTTAAAAATCTGACTTCACTAATAAAGAACGTAAAAATATAAACAAAATAAATATTACATCTTTAAAGAAATTCTCGTAGTAACATCCTTAAAAAGTACTCGCGTACCGAAATAACTGAGATATTTAAACGCTGCAATTCGTAAGCAGGAGACAACGGAACATCATGATAAGAAACGCATTACTTCTAATTTGAAAAAAAAATATCTTCAAATGGCAAACGACAGAAATGGGTACGTTGCAATTTGAATGGCAATACAATTGTAATGAAACTAATACTTTTCTTTGATATGCTGAAAAGAGTTTCTTTAGCATGATCGATATCTAGCAAAAAATCCGTGAAAACAGGTGCTAAGGACCGTTTTGAACTTGCGGTGACATTGTGACTTACAGATGAATAACAGCAATAAAAATGCTTTTCTTTTATTTTTTCCCCATATGCTTGAATTGATATTAGGCTACGAATAAATACACCAAATCATTTCCTTTTAAATGCTACAAAATGAGACAAGATCTGTAAATATGAACACAAAGTGAGTTGCATATTGTAATGTACATACCCACATTTTAATAAAATGAAAAATTCTAGAAAACTGTAGAATATATAAAAATTACGCATAGCAGATACTCTCTAATTCCTGCCTGCTCGACATCCTTCATACTATAAGCCTATTTACGTCAAAAAGATGCTAGGGAGGCAGTCGAAAATTGTAAATGGAGGAACGACAAACAGAACATTACCAAAAGAATTAAAAACGAAAAAAAGTCCCAGAAATAATAATAAAAAAACTATAGATAGATAAACACAGAACAAGCCAGATAACCGTGTATGGTCTCATGTGTTCTGGACGAGTCGGCAGTCTTATCATGTGTTCTGGACGAGTCAGCAGTCTAATGAATATATGTTGTATGTTTTAACTGTTAAAAGAACGAGTTAAATAGACAAATTGTCCTTTTCAAAGAAAACAACCGAAAAGGTATATCCTTACTGTGCACTTATCAATCATGAAATTAATAAAAAAAAAAAAAGTAACTGTATTACTGTGCATTTTGGAATAAACATGCAAGACAAATGCATTAAAAGTGCAGTACTATGATTTTTATAGAAATGGAAATTTTTTCTGCATATTGATAAAAAAAAACGATGATGATGCTGATGATAAATGGGTGTTTTAGTCCAGTGACAAATATATCAGACATATAATAACAACGAGAACATGTTAAAATGAGATTAATATAAAACCTTCTTTGTGCAAGACCGACATACTGGGCCGAATTATTAACGTGCTTATTTTCGTAGAAAGACATTTCATCCTTTTCAGACAGATTAAGTATTCTGATAAAATTCAAAAGAAAGTTAATCGCAAGAATAAATATCAATTGAAAGTTTCAACTATTTGATAAAATATTAAGAAGATTTGGTATGATTGCCAATGAGACAGCCATCCACAAAAATTACCCAATGGCGAGGATGTAAAGAACAAAAGGATATGAATGATTTTCGACAATGAGCTAAACCCATACCATAAACTAAGCTATACAAGACACCAACATGACAAAATTTGAATCAATTCAAACGAGAAAACTAACGACCTGATTTATGCTACAACAACAAACGGAAAATAGATACTAAAACAGCAATCAACAACAATTCATTATATTGCACATAGACGTAAGGACTCTTCCATTGATTCGAGGTTCGACTCCATAACTTGGACAAGCTGTAAGGCATGGTTCGTCCTTAAATTCAACAAAATAAGAAGATGTGGTGTGCTTGCAAATGAGACAACTATCCACCAGAGATTGATTGATTGTTGATTGTGCTTAACATTCAGTGGCTTATATGTCATGCATTTTCAAGAAGATCCATCAAGAAACAAATGACATTGATGTAAAATATGTCACTTCGTTAAATATATAAAAAAAATACGCATAGCAGATACTCTCTTCTTCCTGTCTGCTCGACAGCCTTCATACTTTAAGCCTATTATCGTCAAAGCCAAATTAAGACTACTGAAATTAAAAAGATGCTAGGGAGGCAGTCGAAAATTGTAAATGGAAAAACGACAAACAGCGCCATAAGACCAAAAGAATTAAAAACGAAAAAAAGTCTCAGAAACAATTAAAAACCTATAGATAAAAAAATACAGAACAAGCCAGAAAACCGGGGATGAATTCTGGTTAATGTATAAAATAATAAACGAAACAAATTATCACAGGCAGCAACAAACGACAACCATTGCATATCAGGCTCCTGACTTGGGACAAGCACATACAGACAGCAACAAACGACAACCATTGAACATCAGGCTCCTGACTTGGGACAAGCACATACAGACAGCAACAAACGACAACCATTGAATATCAGGCTCCTGACTTGGGACAAGCCCATACAGACAGCAACAAACGACAACCATTGAATATCAGGCTCCTGACTTGGGACAAGCACATACAGACAGCAACAAACGACAACCATTGAATATCAGGCTCCTGACTTGGGACAAGCACATGAAGAATGTGTGGGAGTGTAACAGCAAACATAATAACAAAATAATGCGTATAATAAGTACAATAATACTTCTTGTTAATCTGTTTTATTTATTTTACATATTTAGCACTTTATAATTTGAATATGCAATTTAAATAAAATGGGATATGCATCCGTATGTACAAATTGTATAATTATTTACAATTGAAGAAATATAAGTATATATTATTATGTAGTACAATCTATAACACAGTTCTCATTAGGAATCCGTTGGTAGTTTTACTATTCCGTCTGTTATCAGTGAGGTCCAGTGTGCTGCATGACCGGGAACGTGGTGTGTAATATAGCAATTCTGGCTGGTTAAATGATATTTCCTGAATCTGTAAATATAATAAGTGTGTATATAAGAAAAAATATAGTTATGTTAGAGTGACAAGTTGTTTTTGGTTACATTGCAAATTAAAAACTGGAAAGGTCAAATAGAAAATTACGGAATACACATTTTTAAGAAAATGACTTCACACTTGTCAATTGATAAACAAAATAAGCCAAAATATTGTATTAATGATAATTAAGATTGGTATTGAGATAGTGTCAACAAAATCTATAGCATTGATACACTTATTAAATGTCTTTGATCTCGCATGGAATTCATAGAAACATATAGGATATACATATTGTTTTGAAAATACTCAAAATCTGCCAGTATACTGACTAATTTAAAACATTGATTATATTTTGATAAAGCAGAACACATTATCAATTTACCTCTTTGAGAAGTTGATTGGTCAGTTTACTGGTAGAGTACTCATTAGCTGACGCAATTAAATCGTGCACAAGATCAGGTCGGATACAACTAACAGCAAATTCCCAGCATGCATTCTTTAAGCATTCCAATTCGAAATTCTCAGCAGCATTCAGCAGTCCTACAAAAACAAACATGTAAATGAATACAAGGATCCAAAAGTAAAACTGTGACATTAATAGATCGAAACTGTGTGACGAAAAAAAAATGTTCGAAAAGGAAACATTTTTTTGAATATCTCAGATAGTGCTCTCAATTATACGTAATTCTGTTGATACTTTCTACATTGTGATTCGGACAAACCCTTTCTTTCGATTTTAGAAAACGTTTCCAAATTTGCAAACATTTTGTCTATTTCATACCATATTGATTAAAATTAACTATGCATATGGTAGTATTTGTTTATGCTGAAAATATTCCTAGGCAACACAGTTACGGCAATGTTAAACAAAACGAATTAACTTTATCAAATAATATTGTGAAGACAGTTCTTACCTACTACAGTAAATACATCGACCGAGACTACACCGCAGTGAATGTAACGTAGCAACCTCTCAAATACACTAACTTCATATTCTTCTACAGAAATGGTTAACTTTGTTGGTAAGGATTTTAATGTTTTGTGTGACGGTTTGGAGATAAGTAGTTTGCGTATTTGTTTCAATTTCTTCATGAATCCTATTTTCTTCTGTGAATCTTGGATTTTTATTTCCTTTTCTTTTGCAAGAATCATCAAGTAGAATATCCTGCAATAAACAATAAAAACAATTGTCATAAAAGACAACAAGAGAACATAATGATAAACTATCGTAACACAGACAACACCATAAGCAAAAGAAAGAGAGAGAGAGAGAGTACATATTGATGCGGGAAAAAAACATTACAAAGTAGGCTAAAGATTGAGCAACAAGAAACTCACTTAGAACAAGAGATGAAATAATGTGTTTCTCTTATATTGTCATGAAAATATCTGTAATGTTGGCCACTGGTAAAATTTAATTATAGATGATAATTAGATTACACTAAATTTTGACTATTTGACGAAGTTGACTGAAGGATGAACATTTATAAGAGAAATATGTATCTATATTTGTCATAAGCCGATCTTGAATTAAACTGTTTAAATACGTATAAAAAATATAATATACACAATACAAATTATTTACTTCATAATAGCATCAAGTTGTGGTATGATTGCCAATGAGACGACTATCCATCAAATGAAGTAGATGTAAGCAATTATAGGCAACCGTACGGCCTTCAAAAATGAGAAAATAAAACCATACCGTATGGTCGGCTATAAAAGGCCCCGACATGAAAAATATGAATCAATTCAATTGAAAAAACTAACGGCCTAAATCATAACAAGACAATTTACGAAAAACAAATATGACAGACATGAACCAACGACAAACACTGAACTACAGACTCCTGATTTGGGACAGGCACATAAAGAATGTGGCGGGGTTAAACATAATTGTGAGCGCTCAACCCTTCCCCTAACCTGGGACAGTGGTATAACAGTACAACATAAGAACAAACTATAAAAATAAGTTGAAAAAGGCTTAACTCATCAGATGGATACAAATAGAAATACATCTAACAAAAACACAGAGTGGACGTGGACGGGTACTTATACATCCCCACAACAAAAAAGACACTACAGATCTGAAAGTACTCGCAGTTAATGACAGATAGTTCAAAGCCAATAACAACTAATAAAAAAAATCATGTATCTAAGACTAAATTATCAATCAGTACACATCCAACATCCAATGGATTTAGTGTAAAGACGTCATTAACAGTCAGAGAAAAACATGACCTTGTACAATGCAAAATTATAAGTATCGACAGAATGTAATACCGTGAAAGTAAATATGTGTAATATTTAGTATGGTTTTAATTTACTGATCAAAATCAATATTTATACCAATAAAAACAATATTCAATGATTTGATTACAGTGTTGAATAGGTAACCTTTTAGAATAAATCTATATAAAGGATTGATAAGTTTACCCGGATCGTATCTAAATTTCCGGGCTCGGTTTACAACATCACCGTAAAATTTAGGATGTGCTATACCGTTTGAAATAAGTTTTCTACAGGTACAGCCAAACTTGCAGACCAAATCTTTGTATCTATGGAAGAGTTTAGTGAAGGTTTTAAGTAATTTGTGGTAACAAAATCTCTGACTTAATACTTTACTAGTAATACATAGATTACGCTCATGAAATCCAAAAACGTCACTACAGATACGAGCATAGCAAACGAGTTGTGATATATAAACACCGTAAGACGGTGCCAAAGGAACATCACCGTCCAAAAAGGGAAAATTAACAATATGGAAAGAAAAATCATCCCTTTTGTCGTAAATTTTTGTGTAGAGTTTCTAGTGTAATACTGAAATATCTCAATCTAGGAAAGGACAGCTATTGCTGTTATTATTTGATTTATTTAAAGTAAGTTCCTTTGGGTAAATTTCAGCAGTATATTTAGAGAATTCTTGATTATTCAACGAAAAAATATCATCAAGATAAGGGTATGTGTTGTTGAATTAATCAATTAAATGGAATTTAGACGGTTCTTTACTGAGTTTTGCCATAAACTGTGATTCATAACAGTAAAGGAACAAGTCTGCTATTAAAGGGGCAAAATTGGTGCCCCATATGAATACCTACAACCTGTCGATAAACTTTATTGCCGAAACGTACATAAATGTTGTTAAGGAAAAAATTTAGTGCTTTAATCATCTCATCACACCTCCAGTAATAAGTATATCTAGCATATTTACCTTTCTCATTAGAGAAAAAGGCTTTTAAATTATATGAATTGCAGCAAATAAATTTGCGACTAGATTTATCATACGACCATTTAATTAGATAGGAAAACTTTTGTTTAATAAGATTGTGTGGAAGTGTAGTATAAAGAGGGAAAAAGTCAAAACTGTCAATCGAATCAAAAGGACCACCAAAAACACGTAATTTATCTAAAACATCCAAAGAATTTTTTACACTCCAAAAATGGTTAATTCCACTGTTTTCATATGTTTTTTTTTACAAAATATAAAGATACTTATTTTACATTTAAACCATCGTATCAGTTTGTCACAAATGATGGAAAATATCAAAACATGTATACATAGTCATAAAAGGTTTTATTAGGACGGAAATGTTGAACGAGTATCAATAATGGAAAAGGAAAAAAACTGTAACAACATAACATAACAACATTGGTATACTGAATGACAAGACACTGTAACAACATAACAACATTGGTATACTGAATGACAAGACACTGTAACAACATAACAACATTGGTATACTGAATGACAAGACACTGTAACAACATAACAACATTGGTATACTGAATGACAAGACACTGTAACAACATAACAACATTGGTATACTGAATGACAAGACACTGTAACAACATAACAACATTGGTATACTGAATGACAAGACACTGTAACAACATAACAACATTGGTATACTGAATGACAAGACAATATATTTTTTATGTTTCACCTCATAAAACATTTTACGTCAAAAAGATGCTAGGGAGGCAGTCGAAAATTGTAAATGGAGGAACGACAAACAGAACATTACCAAAAGAATTAAAAACGAAAAAAAGTCCCAGAAATAATAATAAAAAAACTATAGATAGATAAACACAGAACAAGCCAGATAACCGTGTATGGTCTCATGTGTTCTGGACGAGTCGGCAGTCTTATCATGTGTTCTGGACGAGTCAGCAGTCTAATGAATATATGTTGTATGTTTTAACTGTTAAAAGAACGAGTTAAATAGACAAATTGTCCTTTTCAAAGAAAACAACCGAAAAGGTATATCCTTACTGTGCACTTATCAATCATGAAATTAATAAAAAAAAAAAAAGTAACTGTATTACTGTGCATTTTGGAATAAACATGCAAGACAAATGCATTAAAAGTGCAGTACTATGATTTTTATAGAAATGGAAATTTTTGCTGCATATTGATAAAAAAAAACGATGATGATGCTGATGATAAATGGGTGTTTTAGTCCAGTGACAAATATATCAGACATATAATAACAACGAGAACATGTTAAAATGAGATTAATATAAAACCTTCTTTGTGCAAGACCGACATACTGGGCCGAATTATTAACGTGCTTATTTTCGAAGAAAGACATTTCATCCTTTTCAGACAGATTAAGTATTCTGATAAAATTCAAAAGAAAGTTAATCGCAAGAATAAATATCAATTGAAAGTTTCAACTATTTGATAAAATATTAAGAAGATTTGGTATGATTGCCAATGAGACAGCCATCCACAAAAATTACCCAATGGCGAGGATGTAAAGAACAAAAGGATATGAATGATTTTCGACAATGAGCTAAACCCATACCATAAACTAAGCTATACAAGACACCAACATGACAAAATTTGAAACAATTCAAACGAGAAAACTAACGACCTGATTTATGCTACAACAACAAACGGAAAATAGATACTAAAACAGCAATCAACAACAATTCATTATATTGCACATAGACGTAAGGACTCTTCCATTGATTCGAGGTTCGACTCCATAACTTGGACAAGCTGTAAGGCATGGTTCGTCCTTAAATTCAACAAAATAAGAAGATGTGGTGTGCTTGCAAATGAGACAACTATCCACCAGAGATTGATTGATTGTTGATTGTGCTTAACATTCAGTGGCTTATATGTCATGCATTTTCAAGAAGATCCATCAAGAAACAAATGACATTGATGTAAAATATGTCACTTCGTTAAATATATAAAAAAATACGCATAGCAGATACTCTCTTCTTCCTGTCTGCTCGACAGCCTTCATACTTTAAGCCTATTATCGTCAAAGCCAAATTAAGACTACTGAAATTAAAAAGATGCTAGGGAGGCAGTCGAAAATTGTAAATGGAAAAACGACAAACAGCGCCATAAGACCAAAAGAATTAAAAACGAAAAAAAGTCTCAGAAACAATTAAAAACCTATAGATAAAAAAATACAGAACAAGCCAGAAAACCGGGGATGAATTCTGGTTAATGTATAAAATAATAAACGAAACAAATTATCACAGGCAGCAACAAACAACAACCATTGCATATCAGGCTCCTGACTTGGGACAAGCACATACAGACAGCAACAAACGACAACCATTGAACATCAGGCTCCTGACTTGGGACAAGCACATACAGACAGCAACAAACGACAACCATTGAATATCAGGCTCCTGACTTGGGACAAGCCCATACAGACAGCAACAAACGACAACCATTGAATATCAGGCTCCTGACTTGGGACAAGCACATACAGACAGCAACAAACGACAACCATTGAATATCAGGCTCCTGACTTGGGACAAGCACATGAAGAATGTCTGGGAGTGTAACAGCAAACATAATAACAAAATAATGCGTATAATAAGTACAATAATACTACTGGTTAATCTGTTTTATTTATTTTACATATTTAGCACTTTATAATTTGAATATGCAATTTAAATAAAATGGGATATGCATCCGTATGTACAAATTGTATAATTATTTACAATTGAAGAAATATAAGTATATATTATTATGTAGTACAATCTATAACACAGTTCTCATTAGGAATCCGTTGGTAGTTTTACTATTCCGTCTGTTATCAGTGAGGTCCAGTGTGCTGCATGACCGGGAACGTGGTGTGTAATATAGCAATTCTGGCTGGTTAAATGATATTTCCTGAATCTGTAAATATAATAAGTGTGTATATAAGAAAAAATATAGTTATGTTAGAGTGACAAGTTGTTTTTGGTTACATTGCAAATTAAAAACTGGAAAGGTCAAATAGAAAATTACGGAATACACATTTTTAAGAAAATGACTTCACACTTGTCAATTGATAAACAAAATAAGCCAAAATATTGTATTAATGATAATTAAGATTGGTATTGAGATAGTGTCAACAAAATCTATAGCATTGATACACTTATTAAATGTCTTTGATCTCGCATGGAATTCATAGAAACATATAGGATATACATATTGTTTTGAAAATACTCAAAATCTGCCAGTATACTGACTAATTTAAAACATTGATTATATTTTGATAAAGCAGAACACATTATCAATTTACCTCTTTGAGAAGTTGATTGGTCAGTTTACTGGTAGAGTACTCATTAGCTGAAGCAATTAAATCGTGCACAAGATCAGGTCGGATACAACTAACAGCAAATTCCCAGCATGCATTCTTTAAGCATTCCAATTCGAAATTCTCAGCAGCATTCAGCAGTCCTACAAAAACAAACATGTAAATGAATACAAGGATCCAAAAGTAAAACTGTGACATTAATAGATCGAAACTGTGTGACGAAAAAAAAATGTTCGAAAAGGAAACATTTTTTTGAATATCTCAGATAGTGCTCTCAATTATACGTAATTCTGTTGATACTTTCTACATTGTGATTCGGACAAACCCTTTCTTTCGATTTTAGAAAACGTTTCCAAATTTGCAAACATTTTGTCTATTTCATACCATATTGATTAAAATTAACTATGCATATGGTAGTATTTGTTTATGCTGAAAATATTCCTAGGCAACACAGTTACGGCAATGTTAAACAAAACGAATTAACTTTATCAAATAATATTGTGAAGACAGTTCTTACCTACTACAGTAAATACATCGACCGAGACTACACCGCAGTGAATGTAACGTAGCAACCTCTCAAATACACTAACTTCATATTCTTCTACAGAAATGGTTAACTTTGTTGGTAAGGATTTTAATGTTTTGTGTGACGGTTTGGAGATAAGCAGTTTGCGTATTTGTTTCAATTTCTTCATGAATCCTATTTTCTTCTGTGAATCTTGGATTTTTATTTCCTTTTCTTTTGCAAGAATCATCAAGTAGAATATCCTGCAATAAACAATAAAAACAATTGTCATAAAAGACAACAAGAGAACATAATGATAAACTATCGTAACACAGACAACACCATAAGCAAAAGAAAGAGAGAGAGAGAGAGTACATATTGATGCGGGAAAAAAACATTACAAAGTAGGCTAAAGATTGAGCAACAAGAAACTCACTTAGAACAAGAGATGAAATAATGTGTTTCTCTTATATTGTCATGAAAATATCTGTAATGTTGGCCACTGGTAAAATTTAATTATAGATGATAATTAGATTACACTAAATTTTGACTATTTGACGAAGTTGACTGAAGGATGAACATTTATAAGATACAAATAACTTTTTTACCTGCTACGGGAAGCTAATATCGCCCTCAGTCCGTGAACGGGATACTGTTCTTGACCAACAAGAAATGTAACATCACACAGATCAGGAACGGACAGAATATATTTTAGATCTTCACACAAGGCATGCTTATCCTTCAAAACCATCAACTTAGATTCTTCTTCGTTAGTACAGGAAGTATAAAAGTCATCTAAAACATAAGATATGTAAACGTTAATTAGACGTTTTCAATAATTTCAATATTTTCAATTAATAAGTTCAAGTCATGACAATGCTTGCAACAAAATATTTTCAGGCATTGTTCGAATAAAAATTGTATTATGAATTAAATGAATGTGTCTGCTGGTAAAAACGAAAGTTGATATTACGTTTTTTTTTATGATTTTGCATTATTAAACCATGATTTAATAAAGTATGAATATATGATGTGTTTTTTTCTAATTGTACATCTTGAAACTGTATGATTTTAATAAGAATAGGGAATGTTGAGCTCATTTAACTTATTCAACTGTTAATATATTAAAATAACAATTTTATGCGAATACAACAGATATGCATATTATAATATTTTGTAAAACACTTTTTTTGAATTGAACAATGCCGACTTTTTTCATTCTGATATATATATAAACTGTTAAACTTTATGAAAAATGAAATAAAACATTTTTTTCTTTGCTTTAAGCTGTATTGATTCTTATTTTTAGAAAGTTTTGACTGCAGTAATATTTGAATAAATAGATATGACAAAATTTCAATTAAAAGTCTATTAGAGATTCTTTTTTAAAGATCGCATTTTTGAATATAATTTACTTACCTTGGAATGCATGATTGTAAGACATGTTTGTAATATTTATGGATTTTCTATCTTTAGGACTGAGTATGAAGACAGTTTATGAATTCATTAAAATTGGTTGCATACTTATAATAAAAAAAAATGTTTATGTAATTAAGTAAATCTTTTAAAGAGTAGAGATTATTAAGTAAATCTTATAACGAGTAGAGATTAAGTATGTACTCTGTTATAAAAATATAAAATCGACAGTACTCAGCTTGGTGTTGTAACAACAATATTTCGAACTGATTAATTCTGTAATGATCCTTTCACAAGACAAATTCTTTACCAAACCTCATTTAAGGATAATTTGTATTGTCTGTACTGAACAAAAAATGAGCTGCGTGAGATAAAAATCGATCTTATGCAAATAAATATTAATACAACCGTTAACTTATTTCGGCATGACAAAAATCTTGATACAAAGTCTGTAGCCGTTTTAAAAATGAGTTGATATAAGAACCCTACAAAAAAAACCAAAATTCATCTTTTATTTCGTATTTGAATTTTCTAAAATCAATCAAAGTTTTATACGTGCATCTGTTTACGTGCACTTGCACAAGGCCGATTTCTATCCGACGCAGCTCAAATTAAAACAAAAATGAAATCCACGATTTGATACGAAAGCTCGATAAATTGGGATATTAAGATTTATCCGCTAAATATTGTTTTGATACTAACAATTGTAGATCATTATATAAATAGACCAGACACGTGTAAAATTTAAAAATTTTACTGTCTGTTTAAATACTGAGCATCTTAAATTAAATAATTTATAAATAAAATGAGCGATTGAAAAGATAAACAAGCAAATTAGTGCGTCACGTATGTTTACTGTATTTAATTTTTTATCTATATAATTTTTCAGCAAAACATTCATTGTTTATTGTCACAAAGAATTCAAAAGCATATACATGTACATTTGTAATTATGAATTACTCAATACTGGGAAACCGAGCAATTTATAAACTTGTCTACCTAATTTGGCAAATAGTCTGAAAGAATAAAAAAAATCAAGAATAGATTTCGTGTGCATTTATTGGCCGTCGTATGATGTTTCACTCAGTATACCCCCTTGTTCTACAACCAAATACGTTTTTTTTGTGTGCATCTCTCTGTTGGAAAAGTATTTGTACAAAATTGTCTTAAAACCTGGATAGTTTGAATACGTATACGTTCGCTGTGAAATGTGTACAATGCCAAAGTTCTAAATAGTATCTGATATACATGCATTTCCTTTTCACTGACACATATACGGGATACATTGATTATGTTCAATTGATATACGGTCGTAGTTCTGATTCGATTATGACAAATGTTACAGTACAAACTAGAATTGAGTGGGATGCAAAATCCTTATTAACAAATGGGAATTCCAATTCCAAATTGTTGACAGTCGAATTCTTTTCTTATTAAATCCAGTTCACGTTAGATTCAAATATCTCCTTGGAGAAATATGTATCTATATTTGTCATAAGCCGATCTTGAATTAAACTGTTTAAATACGTATAAAAAATATAATATACACAATACAAATTATTTACTTCATAATAGCATCAAGTTGTGGTATGATTGCCAATGAGACGACTATCCATCAAATGAAGTAGATGTAAGCAATTATAGGCAACCGTACGGCCTTCAAAAATGAGAAAATAAAACCATACCGTATGGTCGGCTATAAAAGGCCCCGACATGAAAAATATGAATCAATTCAATTGAAAAAACTAACGGCCTAAATCATAACAAGACAATTTACGAAAAACAAATATGACAGACATGAACCAACGACAAACACTGAACTACAGACTCCTGATTTGGGACAGGCACATAAAGAATGTGGCGGGGTTAAACATAATTGTGAGCGCTCAACCCTTCCCCTAACCTGGGACAGTGGTATAACAGTACAACATAAGAACAAACTATAAAAATAAGTTGAAAAAGGCTTAACTCATCAGATGGATACAAATAGAAATACATCTAACAAAAACACAGAGTGGACGTGGACGGGTACTTATACATCCCCACAACAAAAAAGACACTACAGATCTGAAAGTACTCGCAGTTAATGACAGATAGTTCAAAGCCAATAACAACTAATAAAAAAAATCATGTATCTAAGACTAAATTATCAATCAGTACACATCCAACATCCAATGGATTTAGTGTAAAGACGTCATTAACAGTCAGAGAAAAACATGACCTTGTACAATGCAAAATTATAAGTATCGACAGAATGTAATACCGTGAAAGTAAATATGTGTAATATTTAGTATGGTTTTAATTTACTGATCAAAATCAATATTTATACCAATAAAAACAATATTCAATGATTTGATTACAGTGTTGAATAGGTAACCTTTTAGAATAAATCTATATAAAGGATTGATAAGTTTACCCGGATCGTATCTAAATTTCCGGGCTCGGTTTACAACATCACCGTAAAATTTAGGATGTGCTATACCGTTTGAAATAAGTTTTCTACAGGTACAGCCAAACTTGCAGACCAAATCTTTGTATCTATGGAAGAGTTTAGTGAAGGTTTTAAGTAATTTGTGGTAACAAAATCTCTGACTTAATACTTTACTAGTAATACATAGATTACGCTCATGAAATCCAAAAACGTCACTACAGATACGAGCATAGCAAACGAGTTGTGATATATAAACACCGTAAGACGGTGCCAAAGGAACATCACCGTCCAAAAAGGGAAAATTAACAATATGGAAAGAAAAATCATCCCTTTTGTCGTAAATTTTTGTGTAGAGTTTCTAGTGTAATACTGAAATATCTCAATCTAGGAAAGGACAGCTATTGCTGTTATTATTTGATTTATTTAAAGTAAGTTCCTTTGGGTAAATTTCAGCAGTATATTTAGAGAATTCTTGATTATTCAACGAAAAAATATCATCAAGATAAGGGTATGTGTTGTTGAATTAATCAATTAAATGGAATTTAGACGGTTCTTTACTGAGTTTTGCCATAAACTGTGATTCATAACAGTAAAGGAACAAGTCTGCTATTAAAGGGGCAAAATTGGTGCCCCATATGAATACCTACAACCTGTCGATAAACTTTATTGCCGAAACGTACATAAATGTTGTTAAGGAAAAAATTTAGTGCTTTAATCATCTCATCACACCTCCAGTAATAAGTATATCTAGCATATTTACCTTTCTCATTAGAGAAAAAGGCTTTTAAATTATATGAATTGCAGCAAATAAATTTGCGACTAGATTTATCATACGACCATTTAATTAGATAGGAAAACTTTTGTTTAATAAGATTGTGTGGAAGTGTAGTATAAAGAGGGAAAAAGTCAAAACTGTCAATCGAATCAAAAGGACCACCAAAAACACGTAATTTATCTAAAACATCCAAAGAATTTTTTACACTCCAAAAATGGTTAATTCCACTGTTTTCATATGTTTTTTTTTTACAAAATATAAAGATACTTATTTTACATTTAAACCATCGTATCAGTTTGTCACAAATGATGGAAAATATCAAAACATGTATACATAGTCATAAAAGGTTTTATTAGGACGGAAATGTTGAACGAGTATCAATAATGGAAAAGGAAAAAAACTGTAACAACATAACATAACAACATTGGTATACTGAATGACAAGACACTGTAACAACATAACAACATTGGTATACTGAATGACAAGACACTGTAACAACATAACAACATTGGTATACTGAATGACAAGACACTGTAACAACATAACAACATTGGTATACTGAATGACAAGACACTGTAACAACATAACAACATTGGTATACTGAATGACAAGACACTGTAACAACATAACAACATTGGTATACTGAATGACAAGACACTGTAACAACATAACAACATTGGTATACTGAATGACAAGACAATATATTTTTTATGTTTCACCTCATAAAACATTACAAAATCAAAAAACAAGAATCACTCTAACAAAATCTACAAGAGACATGTTCCAGTAAATAAGGTTAAAATATTGTACTATTGAGGACTACGATCTATAAATTATAGCACACAGTATTTTTATCCACGTATCTTGACGTTAAAGCTACCCAGTATTGAAATAAATAAGTCTTCGATGATGGCAAGACATATATAGATTCTACCACTGTATTGAGTGTGATATAACTCTTTCTATAATCTGTTTCTGTTATGTTTTTGTTTTTAGATTATTTGTATCCAAACTTTTTTTTTCAAGAAAATTGCAGAAAGATCGTGTACTTCATATCTGACGATTTTGACGTCATAACTGATTTTTGACCAACAACGAATTGACATCAAGCTTACTTAACGGTCATTATAAAAAAAAATAGATTTATTAACCAACTGTAAGAATTACAAAAAATAAAACGAAGTGACATTGCACAGATGCCCCCTCTCTGGTTTTTTTAATGTCGTTTTTTACTGATATCATTGCTTTTCGACCTTTAATACTTGTAGATATCAGAAATGTGGTGTCAAACATCATTTTTTTTTAAATATTCGTTTGAAAAGGCATACATTTTTAGATCCGTTTTTTTGCTCATTAAATCCTATCATTTCCAGCTCCAAGAAGAAAATGAAACAATACAAACAACAAAGAGTAAGCATAAAACAATACAAATAATAATGGTTTGTTTTCGCAAACTGCAGTTAACGTTGCAATAACATATCCTCTGTTTGTTATCTCGTTTGTTTATCAGTACTGAAGCACACACGAGCAAAAGTTTTTCAGTCAGTATCTGTTCAATGTTTAGATTATTATTTGCCCTTCTTACAGCTGAAATAAAAAAAAAAATAGTGCTGTTATAAAACTTTTTCTGATTGTCTTACATTAAAACCAAATCTTCGTTTGAAATACATGACACAGAACAAACTATCTATTTAACAATAAGTTAGTGTTACGACGCATGAATCGTAAAATTTAAACCATCGTGACAGTTTTTATCTACATATATATATATTTTTTATTTGAGCTGGTTTGCTGCCTCATTGCCGATTAAAGAGAGATGCGA